AGGGTCGTCCAGCAAGCCGTGACCTCATTGGTGGTCCCAAGACATCGGGGTTTCTATAGGTTGTGAATGAACTCTTTCAGTCCTTGATACCAAGAAAGCTTTGTTGTCTCCTGATTGAATTAGTTTCGATCTCATGAGTAGATGAGTTTACAAGACTGACAGGAAATCGACCAAGAATATGGGACTCATGTGCTGGGTGATTTAGCAAACCTTGTGATGGCTGATATCAGTGTCCGTTCATATTTAGAAATCCCTACAATTTTCTGCCCTGCAACTCAAAACCAGTCTGATGAATGCTACAAATGAAAGCTTTGCTATGTTTTCATCCATGTTAAGGCAGCATTTCCATGCCATGTGTTCAAGAAAACAAGATCGTATCAAAAATTGCCTTTTTTTATGTGCATCTAGGAATTTCAGTAAATCCATCATCTTTCCATTGTTTATGCACATGTAGTCTTTACATATTTAAAACTGATTAAAAAGTTTTTCTGCACATATTGGAAATTGTATCCACATCTTGGCGTTTCTATCCAGCACTTTTAATATGATCTCAAAATTCACGTTAAAAATATGTGGCTGGAAACCCAGGATATGATGACTAGCAGGCATACGCATTTGGAAAATATCTGAAATTACGCCTACTACACTTACACCTTATCAAACGTGGGCGAAAGAAGTAAAACTATGCTGCATTTTGGGAAATGTGTCGTGCCTTAGATAATGTTGGAGCAATATCTATATGTCCTTTTAGCACTCACATTTACTGCTGTTCTGGGGAAGATATAATATTTCTTCGAGCTGTTCTTTCCAAATTAAATATGTGTCAGCAATAAAGGTGAAGCAGTATTAGTGTGTACATGATTCACTTGGATAACTTAGAATGAACTAGATTTTTAAAAAGAGAGAAAAAAACAACCTCTGTACCTCGTAAAAATATGCAGCTGTGTTCTTTTGGAAGTTATTGATTTCATAAAAGCTTTGATTCGTTTCATATTATAGGGCTTACTTCTCACCAAACATCAGAGGAAACCTGCTGTTTTTATAGAGTGTTGTCATTTTCCCAAGCCATTGAAACCATGAGAGCGTTGCGAGCACCACATTTCCAATACAATCGAATCCAATGTGTTCCTTTAACTTTAACTCAGTGGCCTGTTGTTAGGAGGAAACGTTGAATATGTATGGGTGAATATGAATCCAATGAGGTAATGTGCTTGATGCCACCTTTAAAAACAATGTACTGATTAGGATGCACTGAGCATTGTTTGTTTTAGGGAAAATGGCCTGAAATAATTACCTTGGCACAATTAAACAGCCCCTTTGATTGCTATGGCTGCAGGGCTGCAGGACTCTGAGACATGCTTCACTTTCTTGTCTGTAATGTGCTCCAGATCAAGAAGTTTTTCTCTTTCGCTCACCTTTTGTGACACTTGCCCATTATAATGCAGTTGTGGCAATTTAACCAACTGTAGTTGTACCACGGGCAATTTTTCCTCTGCTGTCTGAGTTCAATTGAATTAGAATCAATAGAAAAGGCCTCCGGTATAACAGAAAAACCTTCATTCAGCTTCTCAATTTAATGTTCTTATGTTGTGGTGAGATCTTTTGTGAATTTTTTCCTGTCTGTGTCTGTGTAAAAAAAAAAAAAAGATGAACACATACTACTACAAAGATGTAGCCTACAGAGTAATGCTACTTTATGTTGCAAATTTGTATTATGTCCCACTTTATATTAAGTGGCCCTAATACCTGTGTACTTACATAGTAACTAGATGTGTACGTAGTATGTAACCACAGTGTAAGTACACATTGGTACATAGTATCTAGAGCTGTAATATTTCTGTAACTACACGCATGTAACTACCCTCTGAATAGTTTGTGTAAGTACAAATGTATAACAGGACAAATATATCTACATTTTGTAACAACAAATATGTATAAGAGTAATTGTAACAATTTGATCCAGGGGGTGGAGATGGGTAGGTTTAGGGATATGTAAAGTGGGAGGAGTTGGATTTCAAGTTGGTGGAGTTGGTGCACCACTGTAATACCAGTGTACTTACATGGTAACTCCTCAGGAACTGTGTAACATTCTGGAAACCAACCACAATTTATATGTAAAGCCTAACTTTCTGGCCTCTGCTGTGTAACATCAGAGTAATTACATGGTAAATCCATAGGAATTGTTTACTTAATATAAAGTGCAACACTTTCTTTACCAAAAAGTGCTGTTAGTCCTGTTACACATTTGTACTTTCATTACCAAAATGTGTTGTTACCAATGTCCTGTTACACATTTGTATTTACACATACCATTCAGTGGGTTGTTACATATGTGTAGTTACACAAACATTACAGCTGTAGATACTATGTACCAATATGTACTTACACTGTGGTTACATACTATGTACACATCTAGTTACTATGTAAGTACACAGGTATTAGGGCCACAATATAAAGTGGGACCTAATTATTTTCAAGGTTTTAAATTCAATACTATATTTAGCATTTTAAATGCTACATGTAAATTTAAGTTTCACATTATTAATGTAATTTAGTGTTTTTAAAAAAACGTTGAGTGAGCATTAGATTATGGCAAATTGAGGAAATGGGCTACACAATTAAATATCAAATATCAACCAATAAATATAAAAATATATAAAATATAGTACTGATATATTATGCATCATTTAAAAAATAAAAAATATATCAGTCTGGCTCATGAATATTGATTAGGAGAAGTAACATCAAGCCAGTTCATCTATATGTTCATTCTGTAAGATATTTAACTGTTTTTGTTATTATTATTATTATTATTATTATTATGGTTTTAAATTCAATACTATTTTTTATCATTCTAAATGCTTCAATGGAATTTAGGCATCACATTATTATTGTTTTTAAAGATAAACCTGAGGCGAGTGTTAGATGATGGCAAATTGGGAAAATTATCTTTACAGTTAAATATCCAATATAAACCTAAACAAATAGCTGAACCAAGGCCAGTAGCTGATGATATATCATGCATCATTAAGTAATGAATATGAATTAATATGAATATTGAATGTGAATGTTGAATATGAATATTAATTAGGTGATGTAACAAATAGCCAGTACCTGATCTGCTTAAAAGCAGGTAAATGGGTGCTAGCCATATTAACACATGCTTTTATTTTGCAGCAAGCAAAATACATTTCTTAATGTTTATATAGTGAATATAACTGAAAATTGCAATTGACACATTTGTAAAGCTCTTCACTCTAGTAAAAAACAAGCATCCAAGCATATTGAACACCTTTGAAGGGACTCGGAATGAGGTGGAGAGTTATCGGTTGAAGCCTGCGGTGCAGCTTCATATCTGTAAGCAGTGAAGTTGCATCTGCATTCGTTGCAGTGAAAGGACTGCTGCTCTTATCAAAATAAGCTCTCGATGTGAGAATATTCTCAGTGTTTTCTGAAGCCAGGAGCCACTCGAAGCCCATTTTAGTGCTTCAGCAGACTGACCTGTAGTTACACGCTATGTCTGGGAAGCCGTTTGGAGTAAATAAGATGTTTACTCATTTAATAGCAATTTTCTCTGAAGGCAGTCTCTCTGATCTAGCTCTGTCCTTTTGCAGACTGTTTTGAAATGCCTGAAAATTTCATGAGCAGGCTATTAAAATGTTTCTGCTTAAAAAGTCAGATTCGTCTACCAGCAAAATACCCACGCAAATGTGTGTACATATTTTACATGAACAGTTTACCATATCTGAGAATGAGGTCGCTATAAAATATATCCTTGGATGTTGAACTGCAGATTGACTTGAGTTGGAAAAAAGAAAGCTCTCTGGTTTTCATTAAAAGCACATAGATTTTTTTATGCAAGGCTTTTGTAACCTTGAAATGTTCTCTCAGAGGATAGAGGCCATCTTTCACTTGACTTGTTCAAGGATATCTTTTTTTTTGTCTGTAGTTGTGAATAAACATAGGCCTTTTTTAGAATTCAGTTCTTTCATAGAGCCTAAGATACATTTCTGGAGCTGTTGAAATGTTCATTTTCACTCAAAGAGGAAATCTTATGAGTATTTAGAGATCTAAATTGTAGCAAGGGTCTTTTCTGCTAACCTTGTTTCAGTAGAAGTCAGATTTAGAAATCGCGACTCGACAGAGTTTGAAGATGTAAATTGTCCTTGTGCATCACTTCTCAGCCGTACTTAATAAACGATTAATGGTAACAGAGTAGCGAAGGCCTTCTGGGATGTTATTTAAAGGGGGCATATCATAAAAAAACGTGGTTTTTTTTACCTTCACAGACATAACCGACTTTTTTGTAAGTCGTGTGTTTTTAACAGAAACTTTTATTTGTGTATTTGACAGTGTAAGTGCAATAAGACAAAAGAGAACTCACATGCCGTGCGACAGACGCTTTCTGTGTGCGTGCTTCAGATGTGTGCACTCAGAAAACCGTATATAAAAGTTTAAACTGATATGGCTTTAAAACGCATGATTTCAGCATGATAGACATGACAATCAAAACCAAACAGATGTTTTTGGGCAGAGTATCTGAGGTAAGAGCTGTAAAGGCACAGCCCTATTCTGGAAAAGGGGCGGGGAGCAGCAGCTCATTTGCATTTAAAGTGACATGCACATTGCTTCCACTCAAAATTGGCATTTTCAGAATGATATAATAAATGCTCTGTGGGGTATTTTGAGCTGAAACTTCACAGACACATCATGGGGACACCTGAGACTTATGTTACATCAAAAGGGGCATAATAGGTCTGCTTTAATTCAGGCATGATTGTTTTTTATTAGCAGTGCAGCTTTATGTGGACTAGCCACTTTTGCTAATATGTCCAGCACCTGGTCGAATTATTTATGGACAGTTTGTTCCCACCTGATTTGGTTTTGAATTCGTCCTCATGTTGCCTCTCTGTTTTTCTTTGAGCGTGATTTCAATCACATCTCTCAAAACTCTCCTGTCTTTTGTGTACATACGTGTGTCTTTTTTCTCACCCTCTTAGGTGAAGTACGGGCGTTTTGCATTTGTGTGGGATGCAGCTGTGCTGGAGTATGTGGCCATTAACGACGAGGACTGCTCGCTCTACACCGTGAGCAACAATGTGGCTGACAGGGGCTACGGCATCGCGATGCAGCATGGCAGTCCCTACAGGGACATCTTCTCTCAGAGGTACTGTATGATGAGACTCTTATTGTCCATATGTAGCCAGTCGTCTCTGGGGCCCTTCTGTTATACAAGAAGGAATTTTCCATTTAAATTTGGCATTTAAAGTCTGAGTTTGTGATTTATTAAATAGAGTAGACCAGGGATGGATGGAACACGGGCTGAATTAACAGTCATTTGAACCACTTAGAAAGTAGGTATAGGAATGAAATCATTATTATACATGAGTGACAATAGACGGTAGCGAAAATTCAAAGTAAGTCCCAAAAAATAAGTACAGTACTAAAAAAAATCATAAATATTTTGAGGTAGAATTTGGTCAGCTTACTATTAAAGGACAGAATTTATATCTTTTGATTCTTTTGTTTGATTTGAAATTTCACACTTATTTAAAACTTTCATCTAAATGTATGAACAAACCTAGAATTATCATTTCTAAGCATACAGGAAGGGTCTTAGCATTGCTTTCTTCATTTAATTCTACTGGACCTACAAGGATGGAACAAAATAGGACCGTGTGTTTCATGTAGGACAAATGTTTCAGTTTGTTCATTAATATTTTTCAACCAGTTTGTCATTTTAGAATATATTTTTCATTTTTATTTAAAAAAAATCATTTTAATTGTCTTTTTTTTTTTTTTTTGCTTAAAAATAAAATTGGGTGGAGTTGGGGGAAAGTTGTTGATTTTTTTTTTACATTTTAATTTTAATATAAATATACAATATATACATTTAAAAAAGTTAATTTGTTTAAAATAAATGCATATGCATAACTTAAAATGTAAAAAATAAAAAATTTTCTAGTGTTAAAAGCCCAATTAAAAAAACATTTATAATAATTTGTAGCAGACAAGTATGAGAAAATTATACCAAAGTTTGAGATAAATTTCACAAAAAAAAAAAAAACTTCTTAAAAAGTGTTACAACTATTCATGGTCTCCCCTGTTAAAATTCATTAATTTTAAAAACACTTCCCTGTTGGGCCTCACAATTTATTTTTATTTATTTCCATCTGAGCAGTGTGTTTCCTGAAATCCACTAAAGGTGTGTGGTCATTATTAACATAAACATACTATTAATTGACATATTAATAGTATGTTTACTACATACCATTATGAAGAATTCTGTAGATGTCCAGCCCATAGAGTCCCACTGAATTTGTTCTTCAGTTGGAGTTTATGGCAGCCACCTGAACCTAAAGTTGAAAAAGTGAAAAAGCATAATAGGACCCCTTTAAGCAATGACATAGCTAGGGTAATGAACCCTAGCAGTTCTTAAGACCACTCAGAATACCTTAGTAACAACATAACAGCATGGCAACCATGCCCAACACTTTAGCATCATGGCAGTGCATTTTGTGCAGGCTACCACTACTCACATTTCCTTCATAAACTGTAAAAATCTAGTTGCATCTTGTTGTTTTCATCAGCAGGGTTATTAGAGGAGTGAAGACCAAGAGTGAAGACCAATTACCCTATTAAAAATGGCAGACTCTAGAGCGATCTCCGCTTATACCTGACATTTGCAGCCCACAGTGCCAGTCAATTTCCAGGACAGATGTGAACTTGCTTATACTCCTCAGGGCAGATACCCATGTCAGCCTGGTTATGGCCACATGTCGCCTGTTTACACAAAGTCAGTCCCTTAGCAAATGGTGCTGGGAACACATGACATTTTGGACTCATTGTCCAGCTGATAGAAATCATTAGAACAGAGCTGCAGTACACTTCTGCCATTGAAAGCGCTGAGCTTGGTAAATAAATACAATGTTAACACTGCAGATTTCTACCACATGAGCGGTTCAACATAAACAGAGCCGGGGGAATTGAACACGTCCCATATCCCATACTATTACACCTTTAATTATCCGAATTATCGACTAATTGAAGTGAATTTTCCCTAAGCTTAAAGGAATAGTCTGGGTTCAGTACCAGTTAAGCTCAATTGACAACATTTGTGGCATAATGTTGATTACAAAAACAAAAAAAAACTTGTCCATCGTTTTCTTGCAATTCAAGTGAATGAAACCAGTTTGGAAGATTTAACTGCCTTTTTTATTATTTTGTACTGTTCTCTGAGGTCCAGTTATAATGTTATCAAGATTTTTACATCAAAAACATAATTTAGAAGTAATAGGCTATTTTCTGTCCTGTTTTGACCCCCCTCATCAGAACGCTTTGTTTGAATAGTCATGACGGATTGTAGACTCGGAATTAAACACCCACTGCTATGATTGGCTAAAACTTGTGTATGTTTGACAGCGTACATCCTTCATAAATGGACGCTGCTGTTATTTAGGTTAAAAACGCACAAATACTCAGTACAGAACAAGTAATCAGCATTATGACACAAATTATGTCAATCTGAGCTTAACTTGCACTGCAATCCAGAGTGTTCCCTCACTGAATCTAGAGACTTAGAAATATTACAGCATCTTCAATCTTTCTTTAATGTATGTATATATATACATATATATATATATAGTATAGATATGTTCGGCATAGAGATTAAAATCAAAAGAGTGGCTGTTATACTGATATTTGTCTTTCTCAATCTTTTGAGATGTCTAGCATCCCTCAGATGCTCTGATTCGAATTGATAAGCTGAGAAGAAATTCCCTCTGTATTTCCAAGGCAAAAAAAAACTGCTTGCCTTTGTCTTTTTGTTCCTTTTCTCATTGTGTTTTCCCAGCGCTTATCAAGTAGTTTGTCTCCCCGCAGTTAGAGACATCTAATAACGTGATCATTTCTGCTGCAGCTGGTTGCCATAGCAACAGCTCCAGCAGTCCACACTCGAAGCAGCGCGCAGGGCCCGAGAGGCGAGCGAGGAGACTACACGACAGACAGACCTGAGGAGAGAACCGCAAATCCCAACCCCAGCATTATCCCCGAAGAACAGAAAAATGAGTTTGAAGCACTACCGCAACACGGCACACCGAGAGACAGAGAATCAAGCTCAGTGTCATACCGAGGTCTTAAATAAAAGCTTGTTGCAGTTACCAGATCACCCAGTTGTCATGGAGAATCAGGTTGATCTGGACTTGGGCTGTTAACAGGGCCAAGTGTTTGTGTTTAGCGCCCGATATTGAACATGGACCACAGCCAGCTGAACTCTCTTGGTCATTGATATGGCAGTTCAAAGACAAAAACACAGGTGAATTTGTTGCTTGCGTTTTGCCCTGGCTTGTCAGTCGAGCACAACTTGTTCGGCACGCACACCGCTTATCTCCCTCTCCTCATCCTCACTCACCTTTCCCTCCATTCATCACTCACAGAACAAATAAAATGTCTGCTGTTGCGAAGCTGTTGTTTCTCTGTGAGAGCCTGCAGGGAGAGAATCAGATTTTAAGTGGTAAAAGGGCACATTTTTGAAGCCCTCATGAAATCAAAATTTGAATTTTAGATAGCGTATAAAGTTAAGTCTGTATGCTAGGGTGTAAATATAATTACACTAATCGGCAAAATAATGTGATGATATTAAAAAAAAGTTTAAATTGCCTTTTTTGTTGTCATTGGACTAAAGCCAAAAGAAATTATAAAAATATCTGTAGAATTATGTTATTATTTATTAAATTTTTTTAATATATATATTTTTTAATAGGACTGCACTGGACTAAAGATTTTTCTGGTCGACTAGTAGTCATTCATTTGAAGCGATTAGTCGACTAATCATGTTTATATTAGTAGACCATATAAATGCTTCATAAGCATTTAATTGTCTATTGCCTATCAGCACTCATGCGCTCACATACAGCTTGACACAGCACACCGCAGAAGTAATGATTATGAATGCGTCAGGAAAAAACAGCAAGAAGACTGGACGTGCACATTTCATACGGATTACATAATCTAAAAATATTAGTTTTCCATTTGAATTGGTTCATTTTAAAGCAGACATTTCGCTTTCTGTAGATATATTTTTCATGTCTGTGAGGCAAACCGCAGCAAATTTTTACTTCTTTTTTTTTTGACGCGCTCAAGTTCACAGAGACCTAGATGGCAGAAAGCACACCCTGTTTGCATTCATTATTTTACAAAAGCACAAGGATTTTTTTGTTGTTGTTGTTATTGTGAGTGCACACAAATAAAAGTAGACCTTTCTCAGATTCAAAAGATGTATTACTCTTATCTGTATGAGCTAAAATTATGGAGTATTTTAAGTTAAATGCAAATGATCGCATTGGCGCCTCCAAGTTAACTGTCATACAGCGAGCGCGCTACTGTTCAGCATCCATACTCCACACAAACAATAGTGTGTTCAATAGTGCACATTTGTCTAGGTTAATGTTGGAGCGAGCAGTCATGTAATGTTACTGCTACTTGATAAGCCACATTTGCAGTCAATGATCAAAACGAACGTTTGGATGTCCTGACCGATGTACTGTAATTACCACACAGACCAGCTGTTAATGATCTGTCCATCATGGACTACATGACTTCGCCACTTCCTGTGGACTTTTCTTCTGCGATAAAGCGACTAATGAAATTTTGAACGACTAAGCATCTTCTGGTCAACTAACGGTTAGTTGACTATTAGGGGGCAGCCCTATTTTTTAGTAAGTCAGTTTATTTGTAGGGTGCTTTTCAGATTAAATATTTGGCTATTTAAATAAAATATTTAATAAAATAATAAATATTTAAATACAAATCACAAGCCCAAACTTCCTGTTTCAGTAGGAAATGCATCAACGCAAGAAAGAAGACCTTGTTCATCAGGTGATTTGTTTTCATGGGGTTTCATGGTGAAGAACATTTGATGTGTTTGATGAAAAAATGGCGTTACAGACTTTTCTAGAAAAGTTTAGCAAAAGTGAGCATGCTGAAAAAAAACTTTCTTTCAGCATATGGCCATCAGTGGGCTTATCTTCTCAACAAACAAGGTAAAATCTGGTACCATCTGAGATGTCTACTGTCATGTCTCTCCTGAGACTCCTGAAGACAAACATGTGGCGTATCCTAAAGGGCAAAACTGGACAGTTGATTCTCACAGGAAAAAGAGCCTGGTGTTAATTCCTGTGGATCGCACCGCTCCTCATTTGTTAAAAACACCAGGGTGTTAATTCATTAAGCACCGAGACTGTTCATTTGCCCAGGACCAGCTGCCGGAAAACCACAAGGTCAGAAACAAGCTTTCTAATAGGAGTCCTTGAAGGCTGAGACTTATTTTAGACTCGGGTTGAAAGATGTCACAGAAAGAGTAGAACAGAATAAAATGTCTCCTTAAGAATGGTTACACAAGGCATTCTTTTAAATTCATGCTTGTTTCTTCCTTGTCATCCCATCAGTGTGGTCAGACGTAACCTATTATCTGAGCCCTGAAGCAGCACAGGGCTCTGTTGACCCACCGAGAGTTGACACATCCATCATGGAAACGCTCATAAATGCCACAGACTAATTTTTCAAGGGTAGGCCGATCCATATGCCTGTGATAGGAGTTGTTCTGTGGTGACCTCCAGTGGAAATGAGGTCTTAAAGAAATAGCTGTTACTGAAGACCAAGACATCTCATCTCAGAACTCATTCATCACAGTAGTTTAATAACATGAAAAAAATTAAAACATGATTTGGAATATGCACCAATGTTAAAATGGCTTAAATGTACTGTACATATCACTCACCACCATGAGGAAACCTTTCAAATGAAAACTTGGAAAAATATAAAAAATAAAAGCTAATTCTGAAAAAGCTTATATTAATAAATAGTATAATAGTTTTGAAATAATACTGCAACAACACTGCTGTCATACACCACCTGCATCCTTCCTACACTATAACAAAAACTGTAGAAGAAAAAACTATTCAAGTCTTTCTACTTCAAAATTCCATGTTTACTTTAATGTGTTACTTACAAATTATTTGTAATTAATTTGAAATTACTGTCCATTTCTGAGTGAAAATTGTTTCTACATTTTTTCAGTGTATTACACCAATCTCATGCTGAGTTTTCATTAAATCAGTCATGGCAAACTTATTTGTAATTCTTTTAATGTTCCTTGAGGCTCACTTATTATGTTCGTTTATTTTCACAAACTATATTTGCAAAACATGATTATTTTGTGAATATTAACAACATGAAGGTAATGTATGGCTTTTTGAGACCTGAATATACTGCATTTGCCATGCTGTTTTTTATAGTACTCTGACATGAGGGCGAGTAAATAACAGAACTTTCATTTTTGAGTGAACTAATACTTTCATTTTTGACAATGCCCTATAAAGACGAGTGAGACATTGATTACATCTTTGCTTACTCAGTCACAGTACTTGGCATTGTAATGGCATTGGATCACAGCTCCCCTGGTATGTTTTGTGCTGTTCTCTTGAATTGTCCTCATTGTGCTTTCAGGTCTCTGCTATCACACTCTGAAACCTCTGAAGCAACATATGTGGGCAGTGTTGCGTGGCTAAATGTTGTTGGCACATTTAAAAAGTGGTCTATAAAGCAAATCTCTCAACATTGGCCCACCTTGTTGTGAGTCCTGTGAGCTGTGTCCATAGCAGAATGTGGAAGGGTCATTCTCCATCTGTTGAGTGCAATAGGACATTTTTTACTCCTGCATTATGTTATGAGACAGGGATAAGGGTATAAAAATGAAGAATAGCTTTCTGAATAAATGTCGAACAGGGTTTTAGATGGCCTAGTCCTGTGTGTTACTGTGAATACTGAACATTTTCATTGCGTGTGTGGATGTTTGGGTAAGGGTTTGCAGCAGCTGCAGTTTGGATGTGAATATGGGCTCTTGGAAGCTCGCTAGTCTCCTCCTGTAGTACTCTGACATGAGGCGAGGAAATAAAAGAAATTTCATTTTTGAGTGAACTAATACTTTCATTTTTGACAATGCCCTATAAAGACGAGTGAGACATTGATTACATCTTTGCTTACTCAGTCACAGTACTTGGCATTGTAATGGCATTGGATCACAGCTCCCCTGGTATGTTTTGTGCTGTTCTCTTGAATTGTCCTCATTGTGCTTTCAGGTCTCTGCTATCACACTCTGAAACCTCTGAAGCAACATATGTGGGCAGTGTTGCGTGGCTAAATGTTGTTGGCACATTTAAAAAGTGGTCTATAAAGCAAATCTCTCAACATTGGCCCACCTTGTTGTGAGTCCTGTGAGCTGTGTCCATAGCAGAATGTGGAAGGGTCATTCTCCATCTGTTGAGTGCAATAGGACATTTTTTACTCCTGCATTATGTTATGAGACAGGGATAAGGGTATAAAAATGAAGAATAGCTTTCTGAATAAATGTCGAACAGGGTTTTAGATGGCCTAGTCCTGTGTGTTACTGTGAATACTGAACATTTTCATTGCGTGTGTGGATGTTTGGGTAAGGGTTTGCAGCAGCTGCAGTTTGGATGTGAATATGGGCTCTTGGAAGCTCGCTAGTCTCCTCCTGGGGGGATGAAACTGTGCAGTGACTCCTGACTGCAGACAATCAGGCTAGAGAGAGACCGCCGCGCAATACAGATCAGCCAATCAATGAGGCAAATTCTCCTAAACCTTTGTGTCCTGTATTCATTATCAATCATTTGCAGCCGCTGGACTGGCATTAGTACAAACTGCCATCACTACATCAGAACACGCTCGTTCTTTATAGTGATCTAGACGCTGCAGCCTGCCATTATTGCTGAGGAGACACTGCCCCCTGGTGTTGGGAAAAGAAGTCTGTCACTGCAGCAACAGATGCCACTGAGCAGACTGGGACCATTCTGAGCTATTTATAGGGTGTTACACAGATCTCAGTGGCTCAATTAATGTGTAAGAATTAAGCAATCTGACATTAAATTTCGATCCATAACACAGTACATTTCTGTAATGCGACACACAATAAAATTGCGCATAATCGTGCATATATTTAGGCCGGTAGTAAATGTCCAGGCATGGAGTGCAGCACTTCAGTTATCTAATGAAGCTTCATATTTAGACTGCTAAGTTATTTCTGAGCAAATGGATGATTCTTAAGTTAGGGGAACATTTCTGTCTGTATTTTGAAGAAAAATACTCTAGTTTTAGATGGTGGGTTATAATGGATTTTATGGTGTCTCTTACTTTTTTTTCTTTTTAAACATGCAGAAATTGCCAGGATTTTGTCTGTCCAGACTTTTTAACTCCATGCTGTATAAAAAGTTCTGTAAAATTCAGCTTTGCACATGTTCATGAAAATTCTGTTTTAATCGGTTTATTTTAATATGGATTTTCAAAGGTTATTGTTTTTAATTAATTACTGACCTCAGATATTTAATGAATTGCTGTCATTAAGCATTTGTAATTGAAATGTTATTGAGGTTAAATGTAAATTCATATATTTATATCAGTGATTCTCAACCTTCTTGACTTATAGGCCCCCAGTTGTCCAAAACAATATTTACTATTCAATCCATTACTGTACTGGATACATAAAATATTTTTGGTATTTATTTCTGTAATTATGACAAATGTGTTTACTCTTATTAAGAGAAACTGGGAGTATTTATATATCAAATTGAAATTAATTGACTTATTCATTTTGCATTGTTAGAGATTTCAAGAACCAAATAGTCCTCAATAAGAACAATATTTAAGTTAGCTGTGGGTGATTTTGATTATCTTGTTTCTGTTTTGACTTTTGTTTTTGTGTTTTGTTAGTTTTTTTTCCTCTAGTTAGGTTATTTTAATATATTAATAATTTATTCATTTTAATACTTTTAAGTCATCGTGAGACCCCCTGGTTGAGAGCCACAGTAATATATGATACAGTTTATAATAATTCAAAAAGAAAACTATTTCTTTGTCTTTGTATCATATGTTGAAAGTTAATCAACTGTTAGATAACTTTTGTTAGGAAGTCCAAGGCTTCCAAAAAGTCAACTGTCATTACCATCACACTTCCAGCCAAATTGTTCTTGAAATCCATTTTGGACTAATAGGTCATGGTATGGATTCTTCACTATCCGTATTGCAGGATAAATGTTATAATGTAGCTGTATTTTGAAGTAGTCTAAGTGCCCCTAACTAAAAAGTATAATCTATATGTTTGTCCGTGTCCAGGATCCTGGAGCTTCAGCAGAATGGAGACATGGATATCCTGAAGCTGAAGTGGTGGCCGCGGGACAGTCCGTGTGACTTGTACTCTCCTGTGGGAACTCGAAAGAGTGGCAGCGCCTTGGACATCCACAGCTTTGCTGGGGTCTTCTTTGTACTAGCAGCCGGTGTGGTGCTCTCCTGTCTTATTGCCACTGTGGAGACCTGGTGGACGCGAAGGAAAGGCTCCAGAGTGCCGTCGAAGGAGGTGAGAGTCAGCTGATGTAGGGATGTTGTTGATCATAAACCTATATCATGAACATAAGAGTGTGGGAGATTTTCTGCCCAAGAACAGATGGGATCCAGTTGTTATTCAAATTCAAGTTCAACAACATCCCTCTTAAATTTCTACTTAATAAAGGACAATAAGGAAAAAAGGGCATAACAATGAGCAGTATGACCAAAGTCTTATGATAATATGAGTTTATATCAAGTTAACGGCTGCTTATATATATAATATAAATTAAAATATATAAAATATTATATAAAAATAATTAACAATTATATAAAATAAATATAAAATATAGATTTTAATATTAATTAGTTATATAAACCATGTGGCTATACACATTTTTGGATAATGCAATGGATTTTATACTTCACAAATTAAAGATACTAAATCTTATTTGATAATTTTCTCTTTTATATGGCACTTTATGGATGCAAATTAAAAGATAATAATGATAAGAAAATTGCAACATTTGAAGCTGTTGTAAAATAGCTGTTATACATACCTGTGACCTCAAATCATTCTAGTGATTCTAGTTGCAACGTTGCTCGGCCACGGTAACTGATATAAAAGACGCAACTTAATACGTTTCTTCATCATTTTTAATTGTAAATAACATAAATCCTGATAGCCACACAGATGTAACGGTTAAGCAGAAATCTCTACTGGTCATATACCATCATACCACCCAGCCTTGGGAGGATATTAGTAACATCAACAAAAAAGACAAGAGTTTAAAATGAGAAATAGTCAGCATTACAAACAGCAGACAATGCACTTTTTCAACAAATTACTTTTTCTGATAGCGCACTTAAACAAGCAAACCTCTCCAAAAAGAACACAATGTTGTTCAATTGCCTGCCAAGCACATTAACTGTAATAGAGCTCTGCTGAGAAAAAATACATAAAAATAAATAAGCAGGTGCTAGAAAATATATGTGCTGCATATATCTGGATAATTACTTTAAGACAAGGCTCAAATTTTTCTTTAATATCCCATCCTTCAGTTTGTGAAGATCAGTTTAGATTAATGTGTTTGCACATATTGTTTTTCTTGTTTTTACAACTGTTTGCCTATGGTTCTTTGGCATCAAGTTAACGATAATTAACAAATGAGCCCACACTCTGCAGTTAAACGCTTGCATTTTACATGAAAGCACTTGGTAACAGTGACAACCCATTCATATGGCTGCGAATGAACCTTTGTGATGTTGCTCTTGATGCATTTCTTTGATTTGATGAGTTTATAGCTCCTTGTTATCTTCTGCAGCTGTCATATTGTGGGTGTTTCCTTTCCTGATATCACATCCCCATCTCCCTCATTACTCCGACCGAGTCCCATCACCCACCCCCCAACATACACACCTGACCTCTCCTCACAGCCCTCTGGTCCGTGTCATCAGACTCTCCACAGGCCAAAAAACACAGCATTTCATCTCCAGCGTTCCACCTGAAAAACAATCTCTGTAGTGCTTTTGATCAGTGGTCAGGGGCCTTTTCTTGTCTTCCGTCCTCCCGCCATGAAGCAGCTTTTATCTGTCGGGGCAGCAGCAGGCCGCTCATGACCCCACAGAGAGAGCCCCTCTCCTTCATCCCTGTTCCTCTGAAGGCCGTCGTCCACTCTGCTGGTCATCATAATGCTCTGACATTAGTGTAGCTCATCTGTTTCTCCCAGAAATGGCAGATGAGCATTTTTAATCCTGTTGGTTTAACAGGATTCAATATAGTGTTAGTTTTTGATTGCGGCATGCCACAAATAGCAGATTTAAGTCTTATAAGAATTTGAATGACTCATTTTTACTCGCATATGAGCAAGGTCCAAATTAACACTGAATTAAAATGGCTGGGGGAATTGTGACATTACATGGTTTAAATCGACATAGTCTGACCTATTTTTTGTATGTGAAAAATTTGCTTTCAGGGCATTTTTATCTAAGATATCTTAACTTTTTTATGTCATTAAATGATACACTACCATTTAAAAGTTTGTAGTCTGTAAGAAGTTTTTAATGTTTCAGAAAAAAAAACGTCTCTTATGCTCACTATGGCTGCATTTATTTAATCAAAACTACAGTAAAAATACAGTAATATTGTGAAATATTGTTACAATTTAAAATAACTGTTTTCTATGTGAACATATTTTAAAATGGAATTTATTTCTGTGATGGCAAAGCTGAATATCCTGCAGCCATTACTTTAGTCTTCAGTGTCACATGAACTGTCAGAAATCATTCTAATATGGTGATTTAATGTTTAAGAAACATTTATAATTCTTATCAAAGTAAAAAAAATAAATAAAAAAAAAAAGTTCTGCTTAATATTTTTGAGGAAACCATAATTTTTTCAGGGTTCATTGATGTATAGAAAGTTCAAAAGAACAGCATTTATTAAATAGAATATAAATAAATAGAAATATTTTGTAACATTATAAATATCTTGATTGCCACTCTTGATGACTTTAATGCATCTTAGTTTATTAAAATCATTCATTTCTTTCAAAAAAATAATTTGACATTTGAATGGTACTGTATAATGTGCATAGTATTACATATTATTTTTGTATGATGCTGCACAATACATTACACTTTGTCACAAATATACAATGCGTAGGATAAAAAAATAATGCAAAATAAAATCACTTATAAATATTTATAACCTGTAAATTCACCTGCCATTGGCCTTTGTTCCTGAGAGTTAACATTGGACCTTGTACTTTATATAATGTAAGTATGTTTAGTCATTAATTATAGCTAACATAGTGGTGTAGTTGAAGATATAACACTGAGCACAGAGATGATTCTCTCTGAGGATTTTTCAAGTAGGGTGGAGTGCTTTGGCTCTGGTCACACTTGAACCCGCTCCTTTCTGCCCCAGTGGTTGGATCATGCTGAGTTGGGCTCATTCCTCGGAGCACTCTTCCAGATGGTTCCATCAGAGTAGAAGCTTGGCAGAGCTTTGCACAAATATTCACACTGACATGCTGATAAGCACGCATTTTAACACGCACGGTTCAGCGAGCGACAAGTGTTAATGCCAAAAGCAACCGAGACAAAACAAACACTAAAAATTAGAACATATCACACTCATGTCACAGATGTTTTCGGTTCTACAATTAAAGCTCGTTAGTTTGTAGATGCCAGATTTTTATCCATATTCCTTTACTGCAAAAAAGACAGTATTTTATTTATTTATTTATTTTTTTTCCAGTAAAATTATCTATGTATTCAGAAACTAATTACATAACAAGTTGTTATATAAGTTCATGAAAAATTCTCTTATTTTAAGCATATTTGGATAAATTTAACTGGAAAACACTTTTTTTATTTGTTGTCATTTTCTGTCTTTTCTAATTGTCATTTTGGCACATCCTTAAAAATCATTCTTTCATCTTTTAGCATGATGCAACTTTCTGTTTAGTGTGTCCTGGTGTCTTGGGACTTCCTAATTCTTGCTGACTGCTTCTTCTTTTCTTTGTAATATTTCTTGACACCTGGCTAATACTGAGTTCATTGCACATCAGAACAATAGAATGACTTTGTGCTTGTGTCTCTGTGTCTGACGCACACACACACACACGTTGCATATGCCATGGTGTTATTTTGTCCCTGTTTCCTCTGTTTCTCTGTGATCTCCCCGTCATGGCTCCTTCTGTGGTGTCGCAATTGATCAGAAATAATTCGATACAACAAGTCGTCAAAACAAGTTCAAGTTTTTATAGCGCACCACCTGCCAATCCAGAGAGGACGAGCAGGCGGTCCAGAGAACCGGAGGTTTTGCTGTGTGAATAAGTCATTTCACATGCCAAGCTTTGTGTCCTAGTCATTCCTGAAAAACTAAATGATGAAAAGTTCTTCACCTCAGATGTCATAAAAAAAAAAAAAAAAAAACAACGTCTGTGTGCTGACTGTTTGTTTGTTGTCTTTTTCTACTCATTCCCCCACCTCTCTGAAAACAACCTCTTCCTCATCCTCTCATCTGCCTGCCTCATGTGTTTGGTCAAACCTCTGTCCTTTCACACGCGCTCGCGCACACACACACACAGACACAAGCAGACGGACCGTCTGTGAGGCAAGACGAGCCGTGTCATGAGCCGCAGACTGACATCATGCTTACGCTCAGGCCTTCCTCCAATCACCTGCCACCTGCATGCTGCGCCACACCCCTCGACTCCAAGCTGAGGCACACGTTCGCCATCCCGTCGCGAACTGTCTTCTGCCAGCACTGAGCTACACTCTTTCCACACTTCTCCAAGCATCGTGCCCATGTAGGTTATGAAATCGTCCCTGGCACCAAATGCGCTACAATACGTTTTTTTATGGACTTCAGCAGTCGCACATTTGCTGCTGAGTGAGAATCCGGCAGGGTGCTACAAGAAAGGCCATTACCATTTATTTCCAGAAACCTTGAGATTTACAGTCACTTTGCTCAGGAATGCAATAATACAGGCTATTTTCAAAACCAATCTTCATTTTTGATCTGAAACCAACATTAGTGCCAAGCTGCATAGAGACTAGGCAAAATTGGCTAAAAGAATACAGAAATGACAGCGCAAACAGTTATCTGAGCTGCGTAGCTTTGGAGTGGAGCAACCCATATAAAAAGCTTTTGCCCAGCAAGCTGGCATTTGCAAAACTTGTTCAATATTTATACTGGTGTTGCATAGCCAGACTAAGTGCCTAATTCAGTATTCAATTCCAGAATCCTAATACAGTCGATGCAACAGGTAAGATGACATTTAAAGCAGTGGTTCTCATTCATGGGGGACACTAGGGGGCCTCAGCAAACTTCAAATTATGCATTTATATGTATTAATAATACAATTTCTAAGATGTCTATATTTAAAATTGTAAGATTTATAATCAAATCTTGTACTTAACTTCCAATAGGGCAGAAAAAATCTATATATTTTAATATATACATTTATTTTAAAGACAAATATAAGGACATTTTTCTGCATACAGAGTTCTTATCGTTAATAATTAATGTATTGACAGACACAAGCACATTTGTTATTTCAAAGGATATATTCAAAATAAGTGTTTACATGCACCTTTAGTCAAACTAGAGCAATAATGAGACTTTTTAAAATGTAATGTAAACTGAAATCATACCACTCAGGCCTTTGTGAAGTCTAATAGATCTAGACTAATAGATCTCAATGTCGCCTAATTATAGTTTTAGACAACAATCGGTCTTTGCGTTGTGTGCATGCTTCAGAAGACAAAGGTGATATGTGTGTACCTAATCCTTCAGATATTCAGTTACACATTGTGTCACATATAGTTGGACAGATGCCGAATGTAGCTCCATTATAACTGTGCTGAAAAGGTTGAGAACCACTGGTTTAAAGATTTCACACTAGTGTCACATCCATATCTATAAATCTTAGAATAAAATGCCTTGGATTAGATTCATATTCGGAGCAATCATACCCTGCCCCACAAAAAAAAAAGGGGGGAATAAAACATAAGTGGTATTATTTTCAAATCACAACAAAGTATTCCGAAAAGCACATGGTCCCTCGTTAGTTCAAGAAAACACCACAAATGTGTCCTGTCATGTAACACAATCCCTGTTCCCTTCACTCCTACACCCCTTTTATACCGCCTTCCTCCACCGTGGTGGTAGGACAGGTACCAACGAGTTGCCCCCCGACCTCCCGCCTCCTTCGGCCCGACCAGGTTTCCCCTCCGCCCCTCTTTACTCAGGGCCACGCTGCCTGCCGCTGGTGGCTGCAATCAACAAAGTGCTTTATGCTGGTCCAATCCAGAGGCCATTTATCTCACTGCAGCCACAATGTCAGCCCACGTCACCCCGTGAGTTTGTTTTTTGTTTTAAGCACTCCACATATTTTAGTGGTTATGTTAGTACTGTAAACATAATATACAGTAGATCGACCGTGGTTTCAGATGGCTTGAAAGTGGAAAGGTTTTGTAGACTATCTACATATCCAAAGATCAATGTGTCACGCAATGGCATTAATGTTGTTGATAGTTCAAGGACAGTACTAGTTAAGACTGATGTGTTTTCATTACTGTAGCTCAGTATGTTTCCATTTTTGTACCTTCCTCCCTCCTCTTTGTCTGTCTTGTTAACCATGCAAATGCTAAAACCTCATCGGGCCTGCTAATTCTCCATCGACACCCACCCTCAACCTTCTTCTAAATGTTCTCGATGTTTCCATCCATTCCCAACTGCATCTGAACACTTCCTTCCCATCTCACTGGCTCACCACCTCCTTCCTTTTCTCACCTTTGTTTGCCTGCGTTTCCTCTTCCACCGCCCATCCGTTTCCCTATTAACCTCTTCGCGCCGTCCCGCTTCACTAACCCATCCCGCTGTATCTGCTCTTACGATTACACACCTCTTCTCTTCACTTTACACCTCTTTTCTCCTCTGATCCTGTAACAACCTTCGCTCCTCCTCCTGTTCTTCTCTCCTTCCTTATTTTCTTCCCGCACCCCTCCCCACTCCACTTTCCTCCTCCCGTTCTCCCCTCCTCTAGGACGATAAGGAGATCGACCTGGAGCACCTTCATCACCGGGTTAACAGCTTGTGCACGGAGGATGAGAGCCCCCACAAACAGTTCTCCACCTCCTCCATCGACCTGACGCCCCTGGACATGGACTCCCTCCCAGCCGCCCGGCAGGCCCTGGAGCAGATCAGCGACTTCCGCAACACGCACATCACCACCACCACCTTCATTCCCGAGCAGATCCAGACTCTCAGCCGCAGCCTGTCGGCCAAAGCGGCAGCCGGTTTCGCCTTCGGGGCCGTGCAGGACCACCGGACTGGGGGGCCCTTCCGGCAGCGGGCCCCCAACGGCGGCTTCTTTCGCAGCCCCATCAAGACAATGTCCAGCATCCCGTATCAGCCCACCCCGGCCCCCAACTTCAGCTACGGCAACGACCCGGACAGGGGCACCTCCATATAGACTGCAGGGGTTCCTGGGCCTGTGAGTTGGAAACAAAAAAGAGATATATGTAAATACAAATGTTCCTTTTCGGTTGTCGTTTTCTCTTGGCTTTGCTCTTCGCAATGGAGCTCTAAGCACTCCACATATTTTAGTGGTTATGTTAGTACTGTAAACATAATATACAGTAGATCGACCGTGGTTTCAGATGGCTTGAAAGTGGAAAGGTTTTGTAGACTATCTACATATCCAAAGATCAATGTGTCACGCAATGGCATTAATGTTGTTGATAGTTCAAGGACAGTACTAGTTAAGACTGATGTGTTTTCATTACTGTAGCTCAGTATGTTTCCATTTTTGTACCTTCCTCCCTCCTCTTTGTCTGTCTTGTTAACCATGCAAATGCTAAAACCTCATCGGGCCTGCTAATTCTCCATCGACACCCACCCTCAACCTTCTTCTAAATGTTCTCGATGTTTCCATCCATTCCCAACTGCATCTGAACACTTCCTTCCCATCTCACTGGCTCACCACCTCCTTCCTTTTCTCACCTTTGTTTGCCTGCGTTTCCTCTTCCACCGCCCATCCGTTTCCCTATTAACCTCTTCGCGCCGTCCCGCTTCACTAACCCATCCCGCTGTATCTGCTCTTACGATTACACACCTCTTCTCTTCACTTTACACCTCTTTTCTCCTCTGATCCTGTAACAACCTTCGCTCCTCCTCCTGTTCTTCTCTCCTTCCTTATTTTCTTCCCGCACCCCTCCCCACTCCACTTTCCTCCTCCCGTTCTCCCCTTCTCTAGGACGATAAGGAGATCGACCTGGAGCACCTTCATCACCGGGTTAACAGCTTGTGCACGGAGGATGAGAGCCCCCACAAACAGTTCTCCACCTCCTCCATCGACCTGACGCCCCTGGACATGGACTCCCTCCCAGCCGCCCGGCAGGCCCTGGAGCAGATCAGCGACTTCCGCAACACGCACATCACCACCACAACCTTCATCCCTGAGCAGATCCAGACTCTCAGCCGCAGCCTGTCGGCCAAAGCAGCAGCCGGTTTCGCCTTCGGGGCCGTGCAGGACCACCGGACTGGGGGGCCCTTCCGGCAGCGGGCCCCCAACGGCGGCTTCTTTCGCAGCCCCATCAAGACAATGTCCAGCATCCCGTATCAGCCCACCCCGGCCCCCAACTTCAGCTACGGCAACGACCCGGACAGGGGCACCTCCATATAGACTGCAGGGGTTCCTGGGCCTGTGAGTTGGAAACAAAAAAGAGATATATGTAAATACAAATGTTCCTTTTCGGTTGTCGTTTTCTCTTGGCTTTGCTCTTCGCAATGGAGCTCGTTCATCCCAACCGAACCCGCCAACAGGACGAGGGTGAAATAAAATGATCATTATTGTCGTTGTGGTTTGTCGGGAGATTTTCTCTGTGAACTAAATGAATTTGCCTTTTGTTTGCCACATTCGATTCAAATGTTGCAATGATAGTATGTTTACCTTTTTTGGGGGGGAATTTTTTTTTTTGGGGGGGAAGAAAAAAACAAAAGACTCTGCCAAGTGTTTCCCAGATCTGCAATAACTCAGTTTGAAAGAATCTTGTCAACTCATCGACTGAATTTTGCTTTTGGTTAACGGTCAGTACTCCCTCTAGCTGACGCATTCAACATGGCGCTGCTAAACTCAGAGAAAACAACCTGCTTTTCTTTGAAGCTTCACAGCAAGTGACTGTGTTTCTAAAGACCTCTCATCCTCTCTGCCATCTCCCAGAAGTTGAGATCTACTTTGAGTCTTTAAACGGACACTCTGTGGAAAAGACTCTAATGAACTTTAAAATAAAAATAAAAAAATAATAAAGTTATTATACTGTGGGGGGGTTGGAACAAATGCTACTAAATGTCTCTTACTGACTTTAAGTATAACGAATCTTTAATGCGTGGAATGTGTCTGGTCAGAGAGTTTTAACAACAAAAAAAAGTGTTCAGAGCTGTCTGTAGTTTTAGTTTTCTCTTTTTTTTAATGATTACTTTTGAAATTGCTTCAGTGCCATCATCTTACATTGATTTGCACCATTAAGAGTTTGTATTCACTTCTGTAGCCGTACTCCAGGATTCAACAAAAACATTCTGTAGAATAGCTTCATTGTATATGCCACAATCTCGCGGCTGTGCGTCATAGATTTTGGAAATCAAAGAGTGAGAGGGTTTTTAAACAAATTCTTAACATGAGCCTTAGGAGACAGGGCTTTTTTTACTTTTCAACTGTCGGTCCTCAACCTGTTACTATCTGAAAATGCTGATACGGTGGCGACTTTTGAGGGGTTATTTGAAATATATTTCTATTTAATTTCGTAAATGTTAAGGGGTACTATTTATCTAACTTTTTTTTAAAGTGCTAATTGTTTAAACAAGGCCATCAAGGTGTGGGGAGAGTTTTTTAAAAAAAATACACATTTTGAGGACAGAAAACAAACCAATCCTTTTCACTAACATAAACTGTATTAATATTTACTAATGTTAGTCGTTTAGAATGAGCTTTCAGTTTGTTATCCTCTGACTAATTCGCAAATGTTGTGTGTAGAGAACAGCAACAGTGTTTTGACGCAAGCATTCTAGATGTACTTTTCTTAAGATACGATTACTGAAAGACTATAGGAGCAATTTTATTTAGTATCAGTTTAAAGATTTTTATTTAGCGTAAATGAAGAGACATTAAAGTGTATATTTTACATGCAGATAATTTTTTGTCGGATTTAAAGACGATATAGAGTATAATATCTGAGTCTGTAAAGCTCAGTTAGCCACTATCACATTACAAGAAGTTCTCCACGGTTTCTGACGGTAAGGCATACTC